GTGCATAGAATTTAGTATTCTTGTGCAGCATCAAATGCGCCATTTGCAATATTTGCTTTTGAGCAATATGACGCACATTACTCTATATATATGCCAAAGAAACCAAAAGAAGAAAAAAGCGACAAAAAAGAAAACAAAAACAAAAATTAGAAAAATAGAATCAAAAAAAAGTTGAACAAAACGAAAAAGTTCATAATTCCGTTTGTTTGTTCATTTCTGTGAACTTCGTTACACGTCTAGGTCTGTTTATACATACATACATACATACATACATACACACATATGTATATGTTGATGTATGTGTAGATAGATCTTCTACTTATTAATTTTCACCATTATTACGTCTCGGTCCTGGTATGATTTTGTTTGCATTAGTTCGTGTTCGTATGCGTATAGTGTGTTTTATGCGCTGGGCTAGAGATACGTTTCATTAATTAACTTGAATAGTCTCAATGAGGGGTTTACACGTAACAACAATGCATAATTTATCTTAAATTTCGTCTGGGATTTTTTTCCTCTTTCATCATTTTTTTTTTTTTTTTTTTTCATTTTCTTTTATTTTATTGCACACTTTTCTTCTACTTTTAATGAAAGAATTCATTTATGAGAGACTTTTTTCTTTACTTGTCTCGATTAGAGAGAAAACAAAATATTGAAACTATATATTATATCAGTTGTACTATGTATTAAAAATTCGATCAAGATGGAATATGAAATATTTACAGTCAAACTAATGAAATGAACAACGTTTCAGTTAAATGGTTATACACTAAGGTTGACATATAGAAACAATGTTGATTAAAGGTTAATTTTAGCCTAAGGTTAAAATTTAACGGAAACTTGGATAATTTAAAGAGTTTGTAACACTTTTAGGCGAACAGAGAATGCGGAGAAATGGCCCTACGCCGAGCCATGCAATCTAGGAAGCCGGGAGCCCTAATAGTAATAGATTCACGTCAACCTTACCTTAGTATATGTGGGCAAAATGAACTCTTCTATGGTATGGCTGTTTTCAGCAACGTCACGAAAACCTTAATATATGTAGCATACTTGTTTAATATAATAATATTTTGTGCAGACGTATGCTATTGAATATAGATAAGGTATTGCT